ATTCGTAATAATCGTCGACTGTTGGTATCCAAAAGTGAGTTTTGGCCGACCAAAAGACTGCAAAACAGAGAAACACATTGAAAAGATATAACACTGCATTGACCCAGGCAACGGCTTCGACTGCATTGATAGCGGAACGATCATTCGCCGCATCGAGAATACCAGTGGAAGGCCTAGCTGCAGTAGCAACTCCGGCAGCTATGAACCTATGTCACATCTATTTAACCATATTCAAAGAGTTACACGATAACATACCACCAGACCATCCAGAAGGTGTTTAGCAGAGCTTCTATCCACCATAATTCAGTCACTCTATGTGCGAACAGAGTCCAGAGAGAAAAAACAACGAATCCTATGGCAAACACCAGACCAAGTGCACCTACTGCTATCATATACTTGCAGATTGCAGTAACACCAGCTGGTTCTGCTAGCGATGCCTTGTATGCACAAAAGTCACCAGTGATGTGAGGTGGAGACTTGTCAAATATATTAAACTCTGCGTTACTGACTAGAGCGTCGATGACAACAGAAAAAACTGTACAGGTGAAATTGGTTAGAGAGAGAAAGGCAAAGAGAGAGGATACAGCTTACTGAAAGTGCAAGTGTAGAATGACAACTTGGTTAGATAGAAAATCCAAGTCTGAGTGTAAGGAAAAAGTTTCTCAAGACGACCCTGTAATCTACCCTTTGCCATTCACTCAAGTTTCAATAAACAACGATGAGTTGTTTTCTCAAAGCAAAGAGGGAGTTAATTTTAGGTCCTCCCACGTGGGGATTGCAGATCAACCAATCACAATTGGCTTTTGCTCACCAAGAGCATGAACGGATTAGAGCTGGACATTTCTACCATTCTCCTTTTCTGTTCCATTTCAAGTGTAGAAAATCTCTACCACAATTGAGAGAATAATTACCGTGGAATCAATCAAAGTTTCAGAATATCTATAATACGGAAATAGATGAAACATATATATATATATAAAGCCCTTCATAATAAATAAAAATTAATATAGCTCTTGATAGTTTTATTGGTTTCGATGTATATAGCCGTTCAATGTTGTTGACTCTCAAAAAAGAGGCATCATTCAGGTACAAAAAGGCAGAAACAAAACACTGGTAGAGGCAATTCTTCAACAATTTTTCTCATTCGGCATAGGAGCGAAAAATAGCACATTAAGATACCGTTACAAATATATCTTTCTCATCGTCAAAGTGGAATCTATCAGTTGAATCCATGTACATTACGTTGCGACAGTGTGCCACAAGATCTGCAAGATGGAACCGCTTACTCAAGAATGGACGAACATCCTCACAATTCGATAGTTGCTTCAAAAACGGTAAGAGATCCAGGAGTTCTCTATCTTCACTATCATCAACCCACGTAGTTATGGGGATACCATTTTCAACTTGTAAACCAAATGCTTGAGGAGAATTGTCGAGGATAACACACTTGCTCAGATCTCTACCCAGGACTCTCAAATCCTTCAAAAAATTGCCTTCAATAAACACACAACTATCTCGGAAAGCCCGATGTCTGAAATAGCTTCCTTCTGGATCCAATAAATTTAGTATAGTATCTGCATATGCCTGCTGTGAGGCAGTAAAAACAATGACTTCAAAATATTTTCTGATTTCTATTTTCAACAGTGAGCTAATGGAATCGAAAAGCCTTACGATATCTTACCACTGAGAAAATAGTCTAAAAAAGGACGTTTCTTGGCATAGACGAGATACTCTGTTCCTCCAAAGTATACAGGAAAGATCAAGTCGGCACTTTGACAAGGATCTGTAGAGCAATGAACGAGAGTTTCATCCAAGTCCAAAACTAAAGTGATCTGTGGGTCACTTGGATTCTTCGATGGAACACAAAGTGAAGGAAAATTACAAATGTCATTGGCATTGGGCAAGGCTGCAATGAATTCATATGGTTCCATGTCTTCCACTAGAAAAGGTCTCTCAGATGGATCCTGTTCCAAATTTGCAGCATCACAATGTTCCATATTCATATGATTCATGTCTTCTGGTTGTTCAGGATCGTCCAAAACCATAGGAGTGACAGTTAAAGAATTATCGCTCTCGTACTCTTCAATGTTTGTTGTCGATATCATTGGCTCCTCTTCATGTTCATGGGCAGGAGGAGTTGTTGGTGTCTTGGGCTTTTGGAAGAAAGTGTAAATGGGAGAAAATATGGTGTCAAATGAGTTTTTCAGTGTTTTCTTTTTCCTTCGCCGAGTATTTGAGCTTAAGACACTTTTGCTCAGACTTGATTTTTTCTTAGACCGTGAATTTCTCGAGGAGTCTTCCGAATCGTTTCCATCATCGTTGATATCTGCTCCAGTCGATGCTCTATAGGAATTAGGTGTGAACTCATATTTCTCTATATAGTCATCAATGCGAGATTGACGACTATGTTTTCTAACAAGTTGGCTCAGGTCAATGGATCTCAAATAGGAATGCCGTTCTTCATCTTCAAAACCTGCAGGATGAGTGTATGGAAATTCTGTAGTCCAGTCCAAGTCCTCGTTACAGCTCTCTTCGTCTTGCTGTGTCCTCAACTTTAGCGAGCTTTTTACACTACTTTTCTTCTCTTTGTATGCACTGGGACTGTTTCCAAACAACAAAGACCTATCAAGTGAACTACTCGAAAAATATGAACCTGCGTTCTAAAACACAAGTAAGTAACCTACTTTTCTGTTGTCAGTGCAAGTGTTTGAGGTTCTGGACCCTCTACAAGGGCAGTCTTCATAAGTTTCTCGCTAAAAATTTCTTCTTTTCAAAGTCAACCAAGTGAAAGTTGCTAGGAAGAGAAAAGGCGCCAAGTTCACTTAGGTGGATTTCTAATATGTATCTTTGGGAGCAGAAGGAGGGCTCTCCAAATTTCCCTTTGCCCATTAAAAATTTTGCACGTGTCCTGTGCTGATAGAGAATCCTCTTAGACACTAGGAAAGATGGAGTGTCTAATTGAGATCATTCCTTTGTGAAGCCATGTGGCAATGACTGTGTGTGACAAACAACAACTAGAGTAACTATTAATGTACTGTCTATTTACCGGTCTTCCATGCAGGTGCCTATGAATATATAAAAGAACAATGTGGAAAAAACCCTACAAAAAACAAAAGAAACATAGTGTTATTTATGCCATCACCAAGAAAATGAAACAACACAAGATGACAATAATAGAAACTTTGCTAGTCAGGTTATATCTAATCTATTCTCGTACAATAAACACAATATTATAATTACTCGGGCTATTTCGTACTATCCTTTTCTGCTTCCGCAACAGGAGCTGATTGTTTTTGTATTCCATCTTCCTCTTCATCACCCATATCTGAAGTCCACAAGGTCAGATTATCGCGTAAAAGTTGCATGATTAGGGTAGAATCCTTATAATTTTCTTCAGAGAGTGTATCTAACTCTGCTATAGCGTCATCAAAGGCCTTTTTTGCAAGCTGACAGGCACGGTCAGGTGAATTAAGGATTTCATAGTAAAATACGGAGAAATTTAGAGCCAAACCTAAACGAATAGGATGAGTAGTGGGCAATTCCACATTTGCAACATCGGATGCCGTCTTATAAGCTTCCAGAGAATTCTGTGCTGCATTTTTGCGATCGTCATCATTGAGGAACTCTGCCATGTACCTAAAATAGTCACCCTTCCTAGAAGACTGAATAAGTTCTATATTCAAGAGACTCTAACAAAAGTGGATTTCTTACATTTTGTGATAGAATACTTTACTTTCACTAGTTTTGGCACTAGGAATAAGATGTTCCTCCACTATTTTCAACACATCCTTACAAGTAGTTGCTAATTCAACTTCAATACTCTCTCGATATTCCTTACAGAGACTAATGCGGGTTTGATTATTTTTCTTCTCTTCCTTATGTTCAACTGCCGAAATTATTCTCCAAGAAGCTCTTTGAGAACCAATCACGTTTTTATAAGCAACAGATAACAAATTACGTTCTTCTACGGTTAGCTCTGGTGTGTCTTGACCAACTTCCAAAGCGACCTTGCGAATCTCATTTACCATTTCTTTTGTCCCAATAGTCATATAAAACAAGTTCCAAATACTACCAAGACTACCTACCGTTATAACGTTCTGCCTGTTCGGCAAGTTTTGTCAAGTAAATAGTTTTTTCTCTTTGTTGGGCGTCCATATGTGATGTGCCTTGCTGTGGAGAACTCAGAACTCAAAGGTCCGTTTTAGCGACTTGAAGTATTATTTTACAAAACTCTCTCTCTCTCTTTCTTCCTAAACAGATAGTACTGGTGGCAAGTGAGCAAGTCACCCAACAAAAACGGATTGGAAGGATGGAATGTTTCGGCCAAGCTGAAATTCTTCATTTTAATCAACCGCTGTGAAAACAACAACAATGTATCCGATGACTCATAACAATTTTCTATCGATATCATAAACGCCATGACCAGTACCTACTCTCTTTATCTGCGCAACATATTCTGCAGCAACCTTTATGGCTCCCACTTGATGCTCCAAATATTTCTCCACAAAGTCTTGTAACTGAACATCTTCAGCTTCTGTTGCAACTTTATGCAATTGCAACAATTTCCTGTAAACATACTTTTCCAACTGTAAGTGCAGATCCATCGCATATAGCACATCCGACGTGGCATCAACGCTTTCGAAACCCATTTCTGGAAGTGCAATAGGCTTCAATACCACTCTTCCACCTCTTGCGTTTTGATATTGAATAAACTCATGAGCATGTTGTCTTTCCTCGATTGACTGTTCGTTGAAGTATTTTGCAAATCCTGGAAGAGCCACAGTATCTCTATCAAAAAAGGCAAAGAGTCCGTGATAAACATAGGAAGCCGTGTATTCGACACAAATATGGTTATTCAAAGCTTCTTCACAACGACAATCATAACCCACATTAACTCTAGTCTCCCGTTCTTCGAGTTCATCCCGTCGAAAGACCAACTCTTTCGAAGGACTTTCTTTACTCAAGTCTACAGGAGCAAACTCAAGTCTCTCTTTACCCGAAGTGGACTTGTTTTCCTGTGAACACTGAGGTCCGTTGTCGCGTTTTTTCAAGACAACTAAAATATTTTTGTTCTTTCTAGAGGATTGAAAAACTTTCAAACTATTTGTAGTTTTCTTGTCTATCACACATTGACTATTATGAACAAAGTGACAACGACTATTAATCTGATACAAGGTGTTCATAAATGCAGCCATATTCCACGAGTCTTGATAAACCAATAGTGGATTTTTCATTGTCATTTTATTATAAACTGACGAGTAGAAAATTGTGTGTATTTCCATCATTATGCTGTTAGACCACTTTTTGTGTTCATCATACTGAAGGATAGAACAAGTAAGTGACTATTGTGACAAAAGGAATCTTCAGAAAAAGGCAATAGAAATAGTAAAAAGGCCATTCCATTTTCAAAATTGTGTCTTTTCATTGGGTGTGGCACGTGAAAGAGGAGTGTTGTTTTAAGCGCACTGTTCTAAAACAAGTTTATACAACCAACCGTTGTTTGTTTCATGGTTTTGAAGAGGCATCTAACGGGTTCAAAGTTTTTAGGAAAACAGTTAGGTATAGTGTCTAGTCACAATTCTGAACAAGTACCGGTTGGTAGTGTGCACGAAAAATGCACTGTTGACAGTGACAAACGCGATATGATTGCAGTAGAACAAGTAAATAGTGACGACCTCGAAAGGAAAGACTCCAAAGTACATAGTTTTTGCAGGAACGAAATTCCTTCTCTTGTTCTTCTTACTAGTCTATACTTTCTACAAGGCCTTCCTATGGGCCTGATGTTTGGTTCTATTCCTTTTCTTATGCAGGAAAGAGCAAGTTATACTCAAATTGGAATATTTACTCTTGCAACATATCCCTACTCTCTGAAGCTCCTTTGGAGTCCACTGGTAGATGGCTATTATTCAAGAAGAATGGGTAAATGACTTTGTTCATGTTTTGCTTTTACTGATGGGTTAAAAGGTCGTAGAAAAACATGGATTATTCCCGTTCAAACTTTATCTGGGCTTTCACTGGTGTTATGTGGCAAGAAGATAGAAAGTTGGGTAGAAAATGTGCAAGTGACTGTAAGTAGAATAGGTTGGGTTGTTCTGTAGTAACCTTTATGTGATAGCCCTTGACTGTGATAAGTTTTTTGTTAGTCTTGATGGTTGCTACACAAGATATTGCAGTAGATGGCTGGGCACTTACTATGTTGTCAAAGGTTTTGTGATGTTACTTTCTTTTGACTCGATGTCTCAACAAGATACTTTCTGTAGACGTTCATTGGCTATGCGTCCACTTGTCAGTCTTTAGGTGTTACTTGTGGTTTTTTCAGTTCTTTTACTGGTTTCCTTGCCTTGAGCGACGAATACTTTTGTGATACTTATATTCGATTTTTTATTGGAGGACAAGGAGCTCTACTATCTTTATCAGGAATGCTTATATTAACTGGTAAGATACAGTTATATAGTATGTAAAGTCTCTTTGAAATCTTGTTAGGTATTCTATATTTGTGCCTTACTGCCGTATTGATTATTCTTAAACGAGAAGATCCTCCACCAAGAAGTGCATCTACTTGCAAAGTTTCAACTTTTTTCCATCAGTATGTTATTATATCTATTTCATTATATTCTTTTAACTGACAAGGGATAAAAGATTGTATCGTTTGATGCAGCTTCCTAATTTAAGGACTTTGATTGGAGTTTTATTATTAGCAAAAATAGCTTTTGCTGTACAGGACAATGTATATTCCTTAAAGCTTTTAGAACGTGGTTTTCGTCGTCAGGTATTTCCATTAGACATTATTTATGTAGAAAATTGAAATAGAAGAAAAGGATTTGGCATTCGTTGCTATATTTCAACTACCGTTTCAAGTATTGGGCACTATTTTGATTGGCCGTTGGTCTACAGGAGTGAAACCTTTATCTCCCTATTTGTTAGGATACAAGTGAGTGAAACTCTTAAAGTACATTTCATTTCATATTTCTCTAGGTTAAGACTCATTTTGATGATACCTTGTACACTTGTCATCGTTTTGATTGAAAAGAATAATCAGTCTCGTTATTTCATTTGGGTAATGAGAATAACTCTATTGAATCACCCAACTGATTGTATTAGGTTGTTATTTTGAATATATTATATCACATTGCCAGCGATGTTTTGATGTTTGTTTCTATGGGAGCCTACTTTGCTCGCATATCAGATGAAAATATTGGCGGAACTTATTTGACTTTATTGAATACGTTGCAGAATTTGGGTGGAACATGGCCTAAATTGTTGGCACTTTTGTTTGTAGATCGTCTTACATGGAAACATTGTGAATCGCAATCTTCGTTGCTAGACATGACTCATGAAGTGGTTTGTAAAGTTTGGGTTGATGGTATGTATGTAAACTAGTTGTTGAATATATTGTTATCCTTTCTCTATCATTTATAAGGTTACTATCTTTGTTCTTTTTTGTGTCTATTGGTGGGTGCTTTATTAATGCCTTGGATTCAACTACGAATCAGATATTTGGAAACTTTACCTCCAGAAAGTTTTGCTTTGGATGAATAATACTCTCTTCTTTTCGTTTTGTGGAATCATTGTATTCTCTTTCATTAGATAAATATCTTATTGTTTGGGAAATGAGTTTATTTTTTCATAATCTATGAGATTCCCATAGCACGCTGTGAGAAGAATGGCTTTCTGTTGTCTGGCTGTGATTGGTTATCTCCCTTTTGTTCCAGTCTCTTCCTTATGGACAACAACACATCCTAGTAAGGAACCTAGTAGTTTTATTAATAAAATAATAAAATATAAAAGAATCCTGTTGGAAGAGACGCTCAGGTTCTTACTCTGCATTTCGTAGAAAGATTGGTCGTGTTTCTTGTGTGGTTGAAGGTTCCTCGCAAAATATGGAAGTGTAGGTTTATACTTTTGTTATACTTCCCATTCAAGGAGGATTCTTATGGATATTGTAGCAAAAGCGGAGCTGATTGGAAGATACTGGAAAGTGACTCTAGTGACCAACAACAAATGGCTATTCTGTCCAAAGTAGGAAACTTGGAGCAAATAACACTCCATCACGCACCTTCAAATCAACAGGTAAATGACATTTGTTGCCAAAAAGTTGATGAGCAAATAGAGAATAAGGTACAAGTTGTTCTGTTTGGTGCTACAGTCACCAGTTGGAAGAAGAACCAAGTGGAGAGATTTTTCCTTTCTCAAGTTAGTCATCATTATTTGTTATCAAGCTATGATTGAACGGTATCCAAGGAAGCTGACTTTAGTGGACAAAAGCCTATTCGAGGTGGCATACCTCTTTGTTTTCCGCAGTTTGGTCCTTATGGTCCTTTGGCACAACATGGGCAAGTGTTTAAGTAGGAAGTTACCTTTTTGATGACTGATAGAGTAGGTTTGCTCGAATATCCTATTGGCATTTGAAACAGATGGGAACAACTCAAGATCGGTCAGCCAATGGACTAATACTTTCCTTATCCAACCAAGATTTGAATTCAGCTTTGATATCTTCATGGCCATTTTTATTTACAGCAGAATATCAAATTATTTTAGGTTTTGATGGCTTAGAAACTCACTTCAGAGTACGAAATGATGGAGAAGAACCTTTTTCGTTTACTTTTGCTTTTCACAACTATTTCGATGTATCTGATGTTTCTAGTTGTCAAATCTTTGGTTTGGAAAATATTCCTTATTGTGACCGTCGAAAGAATGACGAGTGGAGTGAAGGTGAAGAAAACTTGTCAGGTAAGAAACACTGGAATGTGTGGTTATAGACTCTATGCACATATAATAATATTGTTATTGGAATGTGCCAAGGTTTTCAAATGATGGAGCCTGTGGACAGGATTTACTCTTCTACTCCTGATGAACTCGCTATATTTGACTCTTCCAAGCTGCAGATTATTAAAATAAAAAAGTATCATTTGCCAGATTCCACTTTGTGGAATCCATTTGGTATACAAGGTTCGGATCCCGGTTGGAAACGGTTCCTTTGTTTGGAACCGGGGGCAATCAAGAGTCCCATTCATTTGAAACCTGGTGAGGAATGGCAAGGATCTCAACTGATTCAAAGTGAATAAAACGGGATATTTCTTATGTGGAATTCAATAGTGTTCATTTCTTTTGTTATTTTATTCGTCTAGATCATTCGATGGAGTTGAATTGGTGGATTGATTGAATTGGCGCGTCAGTCTCCTGTTGTGACGAAGAAAACGACAAAGGAAGATGCAAGTACCACGATATCAAGGTCCAGCACCTCACGTTTTGAAGAGAGATACTTCTGAAGAAAAAGGTGAGGAGGCTCGCATGTCTTCCTTCATCGGGGCTTTGGCACTCTGCGACTTGGTCAAGACAACTTTGGGTCCAAAGGTATGTTTGTATTCACACACACACACATATATATATATAGATATATATATTCATGTTCTCGAAATACTGAATATTGGCAAGGGAATGGATAAGATCTTACAATCAGCAAGTGGTGATATCATCGTAACCAATGACGGCGCAACTATTTTGAAATCTGTCAGTATCGATAACGCTGCTGCAAAAGTAAGATTGTTTTGTGGACATGGTTCGATGGTATTCTTACTCGTGAGAAAAGATACTAGTAGATATATCGAAAACCCAAGACGACGAGATAGGCGATGGAACTACTTCGGTGTGCTGTTTAGCTGGAGAACTACTCCGCGAAGCTGAGAAGCTCCTTGATGCAAAGATTCATCCACAACTTGTAGTATCTGGTTACCGTATAGCTGCTAATGCTGCACAAAAAGCTTTACAAGAAGCTGCAATGGACCACGGAGCCAATTTTGAGCAGCTTAAACAAGACCTTTTCTATATCGCAAAGACTACCCTTAGTTCGAAACTTTTGGCACAGTCACGTGACCACTTTGCCAAAATGGCTGTTGAAGCAGTTCTTCGATTGAAGGGTAGCACCAACTTGGATCATATCCAGTTTATTAAGAAGACTGGAGGCAACTTGTCTGATTCTTATTTAGATGAAGGGTTTATTTTGGAAAAAACTTTAGGTGTTGGTCAACCAAAACGAGTGGAGAACGCAAAGATATTGATAGCCAACACTCCAATGGTAAGTTTTCAAACTGGAGTCTTACAGTTATTGGTTAATGCAACAATATAGGATACCGATAAGATAAAAGTATATGGTGCTCGTGTACGTGTGGATAGTTACAACAAAGTTGCAGAAATAGAAGAAGCTGAACAAAAGAAAATGTTGGAAAAGTGTCAAAAGATACTTAATCATGGCATTAATTGTTTCGTCAATCGACAGTTGATTTATAATCGTCCGGAACAGTTCTTTACTGATCATGGAATAATGGCCATTGAACATGCAGACTTTGATGGTGTAGAACGATTGGCTCTTGTGACTGGAGGAGAAGTAGTTTCTACATTTGATCATCCCGAGTTGGTAAAGCTAGGTCATTGTGGTCTGATTGAAGAGAGTATGATTGGAGAGGACAGGGTAAGTATTTCCAAAGAATGAAAGAAAAGTTCTCATATTTAGTTGTAAGGTTATTCGTTTCTCCAACTGTGCTGCAAAGGAAGCTTGTACTATTGTATTGAGAGGTGCAAACAAACAAATTTTAGATGAAGCCGAACGCTCCTTACACGATGCGCTGTGTGTTCTTTCACAAACTGTGAATCATTCAAAGGTTGTGTATGGAGGTGGTTCAGCAGAAATGTTAATGGCAAAGGCAGTTGACGAGGTTGCTAAAACCATTCCTGGAAAACAGTCACTTGCTGTGGAAGGCTTTGCTAGAGCATTGCGTGCTATTCCAACTATAGTTGCGGATAATGCAGGTTTTGATGCTACGGAACTCATTTCGGAAATGCGTGCAGCTCATCAAAAGGGTGAGAAGGAAGCAGGTATAGATATTCAAAATGGAATACTAGGAAATGTAAGTTGTGTGTTGAATTGCAAATGATGAATTCTGAAATGCATATGTATGTATATATATATATATATATATATATATATATATATATAGATGGCCAAGTTGCATGTCTTGGAGTCGTTCAAGTTGAAATCTTATATGGTCTCGTCAGCTACGGAAGCTGCAGAAATGATCATTCGAGTAGATGACATCATTAAAGCAGCTCCTAGAAGAAGAGAAGAATAGTTATTGTTTGTGAAACAAGTTATTAAACTCGGAGATACTTTAATGTTTTGTCAAAGAGGCCTTGACATGTTGTTGTCTTACTTGATCAATCGTTGCAATCAATTCTGCTACATTGGTTTTGCACATTTCTAATCTTTTTTGTAGAGGATACCAATGTTCTTTGATGAACACACGTTGAGATGCGCGTATTACTCGAATCTACCAACTTTTTAGAAAAAAAACCAAACTAAAAGAAATACAGACCACTTGACGCATCTGATCGATTTTGGCCTCCATAAGACCTAAACACACTGCTTGAATGACCCAATGTTCCAATTCTTCTTGTTCCACTTGTAAAGTTTTCGCAGCCAATGAGTAAGGAATTTCACTTTGTTCGACACCTAACTTCAATGAGTTTCTATCCAAGTATTCCTATTAACTACTCACCTAAAGATGCCAATGACAACAGTCGCATTTTGTTCAAACATGCTTCATAGTCAAAACCTGCTTCTTCAAAATAGATGGGGTTGCGATGCACAAAATCTACAAAGGCCTCCAACTTTTCGGAAACGAAAATTTGTAAGAGTTCAAAGAGCAGTGCTGTACAAATAATATTATATAAGCTCTGAAGAATTGTTCTCATCATCTACTTACCATGTTGTTTGGTATTCTTCAACCTTTGAATGGCATCCAAATCCAATAGTTCATCAAAGCGATACAATTTGGGTTGTCTTATAGCTTCCTTACAAGCTTTCACTGCATAGGACTCTACTCCAGTCAACACATCTTCTCCTTCACCGTTAAATGTTTCCAATAACTTTACATGAAACTCGAAAGCTTGCGTTTCGTTGTTGCATTCATCAAACGCCTCTGTAATGGTTTGATAAAACCTTCTTCTGTCTTGTTTGGATGGAGACCATACGTCAAGAAAGAATTCTGCTCTTGTCAAAGCTGGTGCCAACGCTTGCAACATATTGACCTATTCCAAGTATATAATAAAAGCAAGAAAATCTATCTCTTTCCACTCACTTTGGAAGCTACTTGAACATTCAAGATAAACAACTCCAAGCGTTGTGAAGTTTCCGTCTCTGGGATGGAGTTGTACAGTCGAGTCACCGTCCGAAGTCGTAAAGGACCAAATGGTTCACTTTGTGCCAACTTTTGTGCCAAGTGTGTTGCCAATTTGAATCTATCTACTTGATTGGAAAATATAAAGCCCGAAATCACTTGAACGCAACCTTCGAGACTTTCTTCGTAGCTGTGATCCGTGCGCTTATCTGATGGAGGGTCATTAAAAGCGACGATGAGCGTGTCTACTAAAAGGGATGCAACTTTTTCCGTATTCTGTTGAGCCAAAAGTTGTTGTATTTGTGAACCAAGTTGTTGTTGACAGTTTGTGTTGGTTTCAAGGAAGTCGATACAGGCATGGAGTTCCACGTCGATTTCGGCAGTCATGATGATAATCAATAAATACCCAATAGTATGTGATGAAGCAATCTTTCAACCTTCTAAAGTTGACTATCATCAACATGTTTAGAAAGTTTCTTATGGAATAGACTTAAGCGAAACAATGTCCTCAACACTATTCTGTGGGTCATTCTCATTTTACATGATGGAACAAGTCGTTTTGTCTTTGTTTCCAAAAGGATGGACAAAGGAAGAAATATTAGAAAAAGCCCAAAACATACAACAACTTGGCATTTCTAGAGGTCTCAATTATCGGTAAGTACAAAGTCATATCTTTCTAAAGTTTGATCACGTTATTTTCTAGTTGTGTGGAAAGTGGCCAGTTCTTAAGAGTTGGTCTCGTTCAACACCCATTCTATTCAGAAATTTTGGAAAAGAAACCTTTGAGAGAACAAAGAATACTTGAGATTGGTTGTGGCTTTGGTATTGATACTCGTTATTTGATCCAACAAGGAGTTGTTAAGGAGAATATCCTTGCCATTGACGTTGCTCCTGCTTTTATTGAGCTGGGATTCGAACTATTCGAAGACCGAGAGTTATTGGAGTCTTGTTTCCAAATAAAGAGTGTTGGAGATGAAGACTTTGTAAGTTTTATCCGGAATGAGTTTTCGGGAAACCCTATCGATTTGGTTACCGCATTCCAAGTGCTTCATACGATTCCTCAGTATAATGAGAAAGTTGCCAATGATGTGTATCAACTTGTTCAACCATCCAAGGGAATATTTATGGGTATTACTCAAGGAATTCCTGAAGAGAAACAAGAACCTCTTTACTTCGACCGCAAAGGAGATCCTCGTGTAGCCCACACCAAACAGTCTCTAACCAACATGTTGAAAGGAGCTGGCTTTCAGAGAATCAAGATGCAGTTTTTGGAAAGACACACATATGAGAATGGTTGGACCGGTGATACTGATACGATGACTGACATAGCTGGTCGAAGACAGCCTTTGGCGTTTATCGCTTTTGTGGAATGAAACTCCTCATCTGAGACAATAATATCTATTTGTCTATCTTTCTTAAAAAGCGTGAACTTTCTTTTTGTTGTCATCCATTACATACAAGTATTCTTGAGGTACCTATCTATTCTAAATATAACCATCCAACCCAAATAACTCACTCACCAAAAATTGGTCCTTTAATAGATGCAAAGTCTCCTGCAAGTGATCACCCTGTATTTCAACTACTTCTCTCATATCGGGTGCCTAAAAGAGGTGTTCAAAACAGTAATAACTGATATGGCGTGTTATTCATATAACTACTTACTGTTACTACCGAAGCACCACAAGAAAATTGCTTTTTGCAGACCCTTGAAAACTCCGATAGTTTGACTCCAGTCTTATCCAAACCACTGATAATCTAAATCAATCAGCAACTTGACAGAGTTGGAAACAGGATATTTTCCTACTGTTACTTGCTTCCTTCCCTTTCTTTGTGCTCTGGCGATGACCACTTCAGGATTGATAGGGGATTTCTTCTTTGATGAACTATTATTGTTGCTTTCGACAGCCTTATGAACGTAAGCAATCATCTTCATCAGCCACACTATTGTTCTTCACAAAATACCTTTGAAAGAGAATCAGCCAAGGATACGTTCTTGAAACTAGTTTGTTGATGCGTTGAGAAAGCAAAGAAACAATAAAAAATACATACGCATCAGTTAATAAGCTTTCATCATAGGTAGAAAAGAGTTCTGGATAGTTTTCACGACGCCATAACAAACAACTAGCTTCGTGTCAACTTGGGAAGAAAAGGAAATCCAGACTTGAACTACCGTTGAAACTCTTCTGGACCGTTATATTCACAATATTCGAAAGGCAAACTACAGTTTCCACAATATATAACATTGTAAGGATATTGGTCTTGGTTTGTAAGACAAGTGGTCCCACGTTCTTCTGAAAATGAATGGGAAGCCATTAACCAACTTTAACCCAAAAAATGAGACAATACACACTTTATGTGAAGATCGATGACCTGCTTTGAGGAACAAACAAAACAACACAATATCTAATATGAGCTAGTAGAATAATAAGGAGAAGGTTGAGAATAGCCATATGAGTCTTCACTCCAGACATAGGTTGGAACTTGGAAATGGTATCCATATTCTAATAAACACTAAAAGCACAGTTGAGATATGGTTGTCTAAAGCAAGTCTGATAGACGTCTAACATACCTTGAGGCAACCATAACAACCCCAGTAACACTTTTTGAAAAAGGTTGGAATCTTCATTCAATAGTTAGTAAGCTGGAGTATGATTCTATTGTATGTCTCTTCTTACCTGAGGAGCAGTGCTACAAGTTGGTTGTGAGGTATAATAACCCTGGCCATAACCCCAAGAAGAGGACGTACTATAGCCATTTTCACTAGAACCCTCACTACTTACTTCATATGGACTGGTAGAATAAGTAGATGGATAAGAACTTGACAAGTATGTGCGAATGGATTGCTTCCAACTCAGTCGCTGGTAACTAGAAGAGGATGGTGTTGGAGTGGGTGTGGCTTCAGATGGACCAAAGTTGTATAGAAATTGGATAAACTCAAAGTATGGAAATTGATACTGACATATTATATAGTTGAGAAGTTGACATGCATCTACCTTTTGTATTGGACTTACCACTTGTTCACATTCATAGCAAAGTAGACACTTGTTTTCACAGTTCTTGTATACCTTTTCGGTATCCCAATCCCACGGTTCTGCAGATGGTGTACATGTAGGAGTTGGAGTAGGTGCTTCAGTATATTGTCTAGTGACCGTATCTTGTGCATGGATTGTACATATCCCAATATACGCAAATACGATTGCAACGAAGAATACCTTTGAAATTTTCATGTTCATTGTTTTAGAACACAAAATATTCAAGTTGCTTAGTATTTATAGTGTCATTTGTAGACAAGATGTTGCAGAAAAATGCAATGACGACAAGTTGTCATCATCGCATAAGAGAAGGACAACATTTAGGAAAATGGGAAAATCTCACTTGACCATCATCTCCAATATTGTGCACGACGAATCCCCTTTTTTTTGGGTAGCGGAACAAACGTTGTTCTTGTGTATATTTTCAATTGTAGCGATGACTTGGACATCGCATTTCAGTTCATGTATGCAGTGTCTTATAAGATTATTCCAAGCTAGTAGGAAACTCAGATAAACGATGGTCAAATAATACCTTGAGAATTTATTCTTCTGCAGTGATTATCCTATTATGACTCCACGGTTTCTATATATATATATATATATGAATAGATAGCCTTCGGTTGGTATTTCCATGGTCCGTGTATCTGCCCTTAGCAGCTATAATTCTTTCTTCGCGATTCGTATTCTATAGTGAATAATTTAGCCTCAGTTGTTAAATTATTATTCTCTATCAGTGCAAAGAGGGATCTTTATTGTCCAAAGATAGAATATTGGCTCCTTTGATATATTTGATCAACTCTGTCCTCAAAACCAGGATTCAACCATTTTGTTTCTCTTTCTATTGTTCGGTTGATATACAGAGCTTGCATACCACTGTATCCATATATTGTTGTTGAATAAAATCAAGTTGTCTTTCTGTACAAAGCCTAGAGTTGTTCAGATTCAAAACCTACCTTCATGTAGAAGATACTATAGGGAGATGCATTTGGATCTCCCAAGATGGAATGGCTAATCAATCCAATGATCTCCCTCTTTTGGATAGCAAAAATGGGAGGCGGATTTTTTCCCTCTACAGCTGTTACACATTGCCGAATGAATGGTTGAGAGTTGGGGGAGATTATTGCTCTCCATGATTTCGGCCTTGACAGTGTCGTGGGAGACGTAGGAATAGCTTTTGACCCATTGTTTTGAGCAATCATTGAGCAGTGGTGTGGATCTTGTGTATCCGCAGCGAGTTGCTCTGCACAAGATATCTCTTTGTTTAATCTGTGACATACAGGAAAGGTGACACTTTATGAATCAACAGGAAGGTCTACAATTTTTTCAAGGAGAATATAAACAAGACCACGTTTATTTACCTCATACTGGCTGGAAGCTGCATAATAGCTATTGGACTCCTACCCCTGCCTACAGTTACTATCCTTTATATCTCGTCAACGGACAACCCAATCATAGAAACGCCATATGGGAAGGTTACAGCATTTATCCAGAGGAGTATAAAGTGCCGCAGGGTATTTCTACACTCCATTCTCAAGAAGCCCAATCCAAGTTTGGAATTCAAGTATCTCATACTGACCCTAACAAAGAGAGTGATATTTACATTCTCTCAAAGGATCACTTAGGAAATGTTCACGAAGAGATACGCACAGGAAATACCTCCCCTTGCTCTGGAAGTGAGCAACCACTGGTGGACACGGGACAAAACAACCATATTATAGAACCAGTTCATGCATTCTTTGAAGAATGCTCCAATTGTAGTACTACTTCCAGTAGTTTTCGCTCCTCAATGGAAGAAATGAGAAATGAAGGTAAACAAAATTCTGCAGACAACTCTCAACGGAATGCTCCATCCAACTCAACTTCACGAGAAACCAAATGGAATTGCGATACAGAAGAAGAAAGTCATTTCTATCAATCTTTGTATGAATTAATGTCTAGAAGAGGACAACCAATCTTGCGTTTACCTACTTTAGGGTTTAAAGAGTTGGATCTTTTTAGGTTATTCAAGGAAGTGACTAGTAGAGGGGGTGTTGATTATGTTATTGCAAAGAAGCAATGGAAGGAAGTTGCAGATGCTTTAGGACTTCCAAGCTCCTGTACAGATTCTGGGTTTCGATTAAGGCTTCATTATATTCGCTATTTGGAGCCTTATGAAAGAACATATTTCACGCCACCTCCTGACATTATCAACTCATTATTCAAGTATAGAGGACGAAAACTGGGCAATCTGTATAGCAATCAACGAGCCAAACATCATACAAACAGAAAAAAGTGTATTTCGAAATCTCCCTCAATGGAAAGACCTGTTCGTTGTGTGCAAGTGACTGGATGTGAAGACAAGATGGAAAGAAACGAGCCATGTAATACTACGTCCCCAAAGAGACGGAAATATCCGAATAGAAAGACAGAGGAACAATTGGATAACGAAATTAAGCAATTGAACAACAATAGTTCGAGAGTTCCTGCTACATTTCAAGTGGATAATGATTTCCATCAAGTGAATAACTGCGAGATGGATAGTAGCTTCCTGACATCCTCTCCAGATGAATGCTCAAATAGGGACAAGTCCATACGTTTATTTGATCGGATAGGAGAATGTTCTTTAATGAGATATGTTGACCGATATTTGAATAAGCGTTGCTCAGAGTTGACTAATGTTCCTCGGCAGAATCTCGTTCATATGGCGGAGGAGCACTTTCAAAGTATGCATTTGTCACCTTCTGAAGAAGCAGAAACTTTGTTGAAGTTTCTTCAAGTAGTTTGCTGTGATAACAAATTATCATGTGAAGACTTTTAGTCGTATATCTTATTGTTTGAAATAAAAGATACTTGCTGTTCAAGAATGTCCTTTGGACAAGGAATTGGAGAGAGCTTGAATGGAATTTCGATTAGACTTGTGAGGTTTCTTTTAAGGGGGAAATTGAGAACGTTGGGTAGTTTCATTTTTGAAACTTTGGGTTCGTATAAAATGACGAAGATTCTGGTAGTTTATTGTAAGTTTCTTTTATTATAAATTATTTCTCTTACTCCTCTGTAGATTCTATGTATGGTCACATTAAGAAGATGGCCGATCAAGTGGTGGAAGGTGCCCAATCGGAGGGTTGCGAAGTCGAGCTGTATCAAGTTCCTGAGACTCTTTCTGATGATATTTTAAAGCTTCTTAAGGCACCTCCTAAACCTAGTGACCCTGTGCTGCGATTTGAACTTCACGATAAGCTCGTGGAAGCAGATGCCATTATATTCGGGTTTCCTACTCGCTTTGGTATGATGTGCGCACAAATGAAGGCTATGTTTGATTCACTTGGACGTAAGTTTGAGTACTTTCGTTATCTATGTTTATTCCGAGTTTTGTAAGATTTGTGGCAAAGTGGTCAACTTGTTGGGAAATTGGCGGGTATTTTTGTGTCAACCGGTACTCAAGGAGGAGGACAAGAAACAACAGCTTTAACTGCTATCACTCAGTTGGCACATTTGGGAATGATTTTTGTTCCTACAGGTTGGAATATTAATAGTATAGATCGTCTTTTCATAACCTTTGTTCTTTCTAGGATATTCTTATGGAAGTGACATGTTTGGCTTGAAGGAGCCTCAGGGTGGTTCTGCATATGGTGCGGGAACCTTTGCTGGTGCGGATGGAAGTCGTCAACCATCTGAGTTCGAGTTGGGTAGAGCCAAGCATCAAGGTTCTTATATTGCGAAGATTGCTAAGAAATACAGTGGTATTCAGTAAGCTACGTGGTATCATAGAAATTCATTTCCCTTATTATTGTGTTGCTTTATAAACTTGTTACGTTTCCACATATGACTCTGTTTCATTCGAGTTGGCACTAACCTCTGTTGGATTCTCTCCTTCTATTGATGGTCTCTCCAAGACGAGTTCCAAAGGTGGCCTGATGAGATTTCGTATCTTTGAGTCAACTTGTCGTATACTTAACCAAATTTTTCTCGTTCTCTCGTCAATCCGAGTAACTCTCGTTTCTACTTCATCTCCTAAAGCCAAGTTACTGGAACCTTCTCGGGGTACTTCCGTAAAAGGTAAAAATCCTATGTTCACGTCATTTCCTTTTTCTTGGAACCAAAACAAAGCATACGAACCATCACAAATGCAACCGAAATCTACAAAGGCTCCACTATCTGTCAAACGAACTATATTTCCTTTGACAATATCTTCCACTCGTACTTCACCCAACGGCTTTCGGCGACTCACAAACTGTCTATACTTTAGAGTCGTCAACCAAACCTTCCTCGAATCACTGTCGATGGACTTGACATATACTGTAATGGTATCACCAACTGTGACCGTTTCAAGGATATTTTTCACAAACTGGGTAGAAAGCTCTGATATATGTACAAGGACATCTTGTCCCAGACCAATATCCACGAAACAACCGTACGCCTTTTGTTTTAAAATCTTTGCAGTCAGTTCTTGACCAAGATAGAGTTGATCAAAGTTTATCGTTGCTTTAGATAAGGAAAGTACTTTTGGAGGGTCCAAAGCGTGGCCGGTTGGTTCCTCGTTCTGAAACTTACTAGATATGTTTCCCTTTGAGTTGTTTTGCAGCACTGAACAAAAACAGGATTTTCTGTTGGAAAACTTTTTTCTAATATTCAGTCGAGTGTTGACGACTGGAGAAGCCCAGAATAGAAAAGCATAGGAAATACTTTCAAAAGGTTTCATCTTGTAAAAGTGAATAGTCGGAAGAATCGATTCTCATTTTGGGTGTTGAAGAAAGGGTTAACATAATAGAAGATGGAAGATACTGAAGCCAATTCGGAAACAAGGCTCCATCAACTTGTAAAAAACTTGACTGCGATGGAAAAGGTAAGCACTCACTTCTAATTGAACGATTGCCTCATACCTTCTATAGAGAGAAGGTGCCCTTTTAGAGTTGAGCAAGAAGAGAGAGTCTTTCCCCAACTTAGCTCCAGTCTTATGGCACTCTTTTGGCACAGTTGCAGCATTATTACAAGAACTGGTATGTTTTGTTCTCAAGATTGTTAGTCAGCTGAATTGGGACTTAGGTTGCCATTTATCCATCACTTTCGCCACCTACTTTGACTGCACATGCCTCTAATCGTGTCTGTAACGCTTTGGCGTTGTTGCAGTGTGTGGCTTCACATCCGGAGACAAGAACTCCCTTTCTGAACGCGCATATTCCTCTGTTTCTTTATCCTTTTCTCAACACAGTTTCCAAGACCAGACCTTTTGAATATTTGCGTCTCACTTCCTTGGGAGTCATTGGTGCTTTGGTAAAGATGGACGACCCAGAAGTAATAAACTTCTTGCTTACGACGGAAATAATCCCGTTATGCTTGCGAATTATGGAGACTGGTTCGGAACTTTCGAAAACAGTTGCTACTTTCATTTTACAAAAGGTTCTGCTGGACGACTTTGGATTACAATATATTTGTCATACAGCAGAAAGATTTTATGCTGTATCCACAGTATTAAGTAATATGGTCAATGCTCTGGTTGAACAACCTTCAGCAAGACTTCTGAAACACATAGTTCGCTGTTATCTCCGTTTGAGTGATAATCCTAGAGCAAGGGAAGCACTTCGACAGCATTTACCAGCCGCGTTACAAAATGGCACTTTCTCAAAAGTATTAGAAGAAGACCCTTCGACGAGAAGATGGTTATCTTCACTCTTGTACGCTTTAGGAGGAGAACAATATAGCTTGAATTCCAATATTTAACATTTATTTACATCAAGTATCAAAGCCTTGGAAGACACCATCATCGTCGCTTGTTGGGTTGACCACAGCATTGGAGTCTTTACGAGGAAGAGCGTTGGAGAGGGATAACAAGTCTTCGAAGGGATCTGTTGTGACTTCAGAGCCTTCCGACTTGGAAGGATGTTGATCGAAAGTTGTCTGTTCCCTTACTGCATTATTAGCGGTCCTTGTGGAGTTACTAGGCATGGTTGGCTTCATTTCAACTGATTCATTTCTTTGCGAAACCAAATGACTCGCATTATTTTCACTATCATTATCTTGAAATAAATAATGGAAAGAATCTTTGGAATTGTTTGCAGCAGGTTGCACTGAAACTTGTTTGTACAAGTCCAAAATTTTGTTTCGTATCTCTTCTCGTTGATAGTTTTGTTCTTGTTGTGAAGACCCTGGTATTTGTTCCGCAGTGACAAAGTCTTCAAATTCTTCTTCAAAATTGGCAAAGTTGGCATTCTCTTCTTCCTCGGTAACATTTTTCTTGGAATGCTCCAGAGTCCCATTGTTGTATGATGTATTTGTGCCTTGTGTTTCAAAGTCTTCTTGATCTATCAAAGAGCCTTCTACAAGATATCTATGATGAGGTTGTTGGTTTTCAGGAGAACGAGGAGCCTGCGTCGATTGAGAGCCATGTATTAAAATCCAATCCACCGCTTGCATAATATCTCCTCGAGACTTGCTCAGTGCAGTCATTGCGTCGTCTCTTCGAAAGCCCATTTCCAATAACACTCTCAACGCTGGAGAAGACAAGTCGCGATCGTCAAAATGTCTACTGGGAACATAAATATCCTCTCTAAATGAATTTTGAGTTCGCTGCGCACTAATTCTACTCTGAGACTCTAAACGATTTCTATCTTCTTCTTTCATGAACAACTTTTTCTCATATTTATCTCTAATCCTAATCCCACTTTTCAGTAACAGCACTCGAAACCAGGTTCCCAAAGTACCATCTTTCCAATACATCAAGTTCCTCTGATGAAGGGCGTCGGAACCCTCTTGGAAGGTTGGCCTCATAGAGTTGTCTACCTTTAGCATTTCCCAAGTTCTTTATACGTTCCAGTTGTTCCTTACTCCAACGGTCCAAAGTACATGAACGGACCTATTTCTTCTTAGCCTCGTTTCTAACACAATAGGCAACACATACTTGCGATACGTGAACTCCCAACTTTCTATGAAGTGAAGAACAAGTCATACAAAGAAAAACACCCAAGTTGACAGACGCCCAACGTGGACCTTGGAAAGAATGGTAAGACCCCTCAATATTCAACTACTGTGACAAACTCAACCTGTTGCTCCACAATCTGCACACACTTTATTTTCAGGTTGTGCCATAAGTTCTCCTAATATATGTGCTTGTTGCTGTTCCGTAGTATCGTTTCCACTCATTGATGATTGCTTCGGCTGCTGCTTTCAAAGACAAATCCAATACGATAAAAGTAAAATGAGTTGGGCAGTCATGAACAGTCAAAACGACGACCCTAGAAGACCTTCTCAAGTTGTTCCCTTTCAACCTCCACGGAAGGAAGAAGAAACAACAATAACTGATTTTTTCTCCATGACTTCTATGAGCTTTGGTATGCTGGCTGTGGTTATGAAGGTAAGTAGTCTTTTGGTATCAGTGTTGTGTTGCGTGAACGTGGGTTAGGTACGATATTTTGCTTGGCTCAGTTTTATTATGGCTGTAGCTTATGCTTCTAATTCTCGTTTCTCTCAAGTAGAAGTGAAGCAGTTGGTATCATCTATTGGGTGAGTAGATACGACAATTATATTTACAGGGTCTTGGAATATTTATTTTCCAACTTTAGCCTCAGTATCGTTATACTGTTAATATCCTATTTGTCACCGTCTCCTCCAAGAAGGGTTGGTTAGAGAGGGATGGAAGTTCACTTTCCAAATCTTTTAGGAGTACGCGCATTTGTTTCTATAATTTCTCTCAAGTCGTGCAAAGTAAATCCTGGAAAGCTTGGCTGAAAGAATATTTGCGATAAACGCACTTCCCATGAAGGAAAACCTGCGAGTGATGGAACACTTCCAAATATTACAACAACTTCTGGTTCAGAACCAATCATTGCACCCTCAGCACCCCTGTTGAGAAAGTCTAACACATACGTCTTCCTTGAATCCATAGGTAACGTTCGGTAGATATCCAACTTTGTATTGATGAATTGGAAGAAACCTTGGATGATGGAAAGATGAGCATCTTCCGAACGGAGCAGGTTCAAAGTAAACACCCTTCGACTTCTATGAGAAAGCTGAACAATATAAAACCCTGCGTTTCTGTTTTCCACTGTACACGTTAGTCTTCGAAAACAGGTCACTTCTCTATCTACGTCGTAGTTTGGAAAGTTTTCTATGCTCCAAAATGCACATATTCTTTCAACCCAAGGTTTCCAATCTACTACTTGGTTGTCTACAAAAGTTAGTACAGTAATTCCCAACGAAAAACACCAAAAGATGAGGTTGATCAAGTTCAAACAGACACTTGTCTCCTCTTGAATACCGTCGTTCCGGACAATACCCAAGTGCTTCACTTGCACTTCACTCCTTCTATGTTGTTCTACTTGAGAAGGAAGTAACAGGTTTTTTACCTTTTCTGAGAATAGTTCCAAGTATTCCACTATATAAAATAAACAGTATAAAATGTAATAAAGTACTCGAGCAATTGTCAGACAAACACGTTGCATTCAAAACTCAGCTCGAAGGAAAATCTTTTTACGAGATGCCCTGTCGATGATACACACACACACATGTACTGAATTGAGTCGCTCAACTTGAAAACTTTAGAGTTCCAACGATCATAGCAATTCAAATAATGTATAACATCTTTGAGATTCATAACCTTTCTTTGACGATGAAATGAATCAACCTGTTATCTGTGAGTTTACTGAAATAACGACAAGTATACCACATCCTTTCTTCTTGAAAGGATACAATCATACAATATTCAAAGACTAGCTAAGACACAAGTGTTTCCTTGAAATGAATATCTCCAACTTTTATGCTTGGGTACATTAGACATTCGATTTAGACTATACCAAGAAAACCTTGTAGTTTTGCTGTTTCATTCATTTAGCTACAGAGTTTTATATTTTCCAATGATTGCATAAAGATTCTTTTTAACTGTGATAGATTTCAAAGAGGCCCTTTACAAAATAAATAAATAGATAAATACTGTCCTGGAGGAAATTGAGGAAATACTGAAAGGATGAAAAATGGCCATTTCGAATTTGAAAACTATTGGTTGGCCACGTATTGAAGCGGGCCATGAGCGATCAAGCAGACTTATTAGACCATTCTCACAACCTTCGTGTTTCTGCAGATATAATAGTCCGACAAAATATTTTCGAACGACTACATGCAACGCTTCCAGATGCCAAACTATTCAACTCAAACGAATTCTTGGACAAATTCTTTAAGAAACCTGATGATGAAAAAGAAAGGATAATGGATTATGGTAGCTTCCGTTTCTTTGCGGAAACTATTCAACCCAATAGTCAAACGTCACTATTCTTCGACCATTTTGCCTTTCTATCTCCTTGTAGTTTTCTTCTTCTTCCAAGGACTGAAAATGAATGTTTGAGGGATACCACACTGATGTATTATTGTAATAAGAAACACTTGGCAGTACAGTTCATATTGAAGTTGGCATTATTTTACTGTGAAGATTCAAATGGCGTTATTTCTGAAGCATCTTTTCAAGCATTTGTGGAAAATGAATTAATTGCAGCTTCATCTGAGCTCAAAAGCAAGTTGAATCCCTCCTTTTATCCTTATTATTCATGTACAGTGAGTAGAAAGGCAAGTGTACATTCTCTTCTTTGATTATGTTTTAACTTGTATCTATACGTTTAGGTTTTCTTCTTTTTAGACTCTCCCAGAAGAGGATTTATCAAACTACAGAGTTTCATTAACAGTAAACTGTTTTTGGAATGTCTGGACGCAACCACGTCACATTCCATGGATGATAGCGCATCACAAAATAGTCTTCAAAGCTGGTTCTCTGCCGAGAGTGCTTTATATATGTATGAAAAATACCTCGAGTTAGATTTGGACGGTAATGGAATGCTGAGCAAGTCTGAGCTCTCACGGTTTGGAAATGGAACATTAACAAACACTTTTTTGTCTCGATTCTTCGAAGAATGTGTTTCTTACAAGAACGATGAATCTTCACAAGAGGAAATAGACTACAGAGTTTATTTGGATCTTGTGCTCATATTAACAAATATTTCATCCAAGCCCGCACTCCATATTCTGTTTCGTATTCTGGATAGCAGAGGTCGTGGAGCATTGAATGTTTATGATTTCAATCTTTTCTACAAAGATTTGAAGGCTTATCTCGATCGCATAGGAATTGAAACTCCTCCATTTGAACATTTGTTATCTGAAATTTTCGATATGGTTCGTCCAGTCAATAGTTGGGAGATTACACAAAAGGATTTGGAGTGTTCAGGTTGCGCTGGGACAGTTGTTGGAATTCTCATCGATGCCACTGTTTTTATTGAATATGAAAATAGAGAAGCTGTAACAGGTGTGGATGAGAATGACATAGATGCAGAGGTAATGGCCATATACGATGAAGAAGCTGAAGCAGCTGCAATTTCCGTACTTTAGATAAATGTTTATGACTTGTCCATAAAATGAAATGTCATAGATTGACTTTTGTATCTATCACAGCTTAACGCAATTCATTGATCGTCCACGAAGGATTTTGAAGAGAGTTAAAGAGTTTTGACTAGTTATGGACTCACCTACTGAAGTATGTTGTTTTCTAAAGTCTTTTTCTATCCAATTGAGTTTTATTATGAAAGGACGTAGTTGAAATATTTGGGTCCCAAGTTGATTCAAGTGACGAAGAAATTAAGAGAACAACTAGGGCGAAAGGAGTAGAGAGAAGTAGAGATGAGGAACAAGAAGAAACATATAGTTCGCCTAAGAACAAAAGACTTAAAAAGTCTCGAAATACTAAGCTTGGTGAAGAAGATGAACCGAACCGTTTCACTACAAGAGAAGACACACAAGAGACCAGGTTCCCAACTGACGAAAAAGGAAACAAGTACCGAATCCCGCGTAAAAAGAATTCTAAGAGGCGTCATACTGCAACTGAAAAGAAGCATAAAACTAGTTCTTTAGAAATGAACTTGCGAAATGACGAGTCGGATGAGGAACAGTTTGTTGAAAGTGATGACAACCAAGACGCACCTGCAGAAAGTTCAAAAGTAGATGACTTGTTATCTAACTTGAAGAAATCAAAAAACAAAAAGGAAGAAAAGAATATAAAAGATTTAACAGAAGAAGTGGATAATTTTCTGAGAAGAATGATGAAAGCTGCAGATGATGACTTGTTAGCTTTAAAAGCTGGTAAACCCGCTACCAATAAATTGAAGTTGGTGGAAGAGGTAGAAAAGAATCTGAGGCGAGTTGAATACCGTGAATTGTTTTTAGAGCAAGGTTTACTTTCAGTAGTGAAACGTTGGTTAGATCCTCTTCCTGATGGAAGTCTACCGAATGCTAGTTTGCGCTCTCGTCTATTGAAAATGTTAGATGAGTTTCCTGTAGATAATTCATGGATGGAGCTTCTTAGATCGAGTGACATTGGACGTGCTGTAAAATATATTTCAGTGAATGATCGAATGGAATCTACACGTCGTCTAGCCAAGGATTTGGTTGAAAAGTGGATTCGTCCAGTCTTCAACGCAAAGACGGACTATCGCGATTTTCAAACACAGTTTCGACGTGTTCCTGTGGAAGAAATTGGAGAGTTGCAAAGTTCTGCGTCATCCGCTCACAACGAAGACAATATATCCAAGCGATTAAAGATTCCAACATATCGTGCGGCTATTCCACAACCAGTATCATTTAATTTCCAAGCAATGCCTGATAGCTCACATATTGCAGAGGCACTCGAAGAACGTAAAGGTATAGTTCAACCGGCAGCTCTTCGTAAGATAGAACGACGATCTTCATCTCGTTCTCAATATCGAAGCAAGCCTTCTCGGGTTGAGGATTATGCAAGTATTTCATAAGATTTGAGAATACAACCGGAATAAAGCTGTGGCATTAATAAGCCATTGCAGTGTAGACAGCTATCCAAACAAAGAGAAATAACGCAAATGAACTCCAAGCAGCTTCTTGTTGTACAGTACCCCAACCACCAAAGTCGTCTTCATCCAAATCTAAGAACCACTTGAAATATCTAAAGTGCACTTGAAGGGATGTCTTTTTCAACGAGTAACCAACTTACGCTTGCGAAATGGTGAACCAGAGGGATATATATAGAATAAAACCTGGTAAGCCGGTCAGCTTGAGAAAACCGAATAAGCATCCTATCAACAGCGCAGTAACGTGACGGATCCAAAAAAGAACGTCTAATATTTCGTCCTGTGTGTTGATAATAAGTGAAGTTTATTAAAGCATAAGAAATAGGGTCACCTTTTCCCATAAAGTGTCAGGGTTCAATGCCTTTTGCCATAAACTTCGATCCATTGTTCCTTCTATAAGAATTGTCTAAACCGTATAATGGATCGATGTACATGTGCAATATTATATAATAGCGATACCTGTTCACTTCATTTTGATAAAACATTCAAAAGAAAACAAGTCATTCTCTTCTTGGCTCTTTGGGGTTGAAATGATTTTCCAAGATTCTCTGTAGGAGTCCGTACTTCTCATGTCTCTAGTCAATGGACTTTTGTATGCAGCGGTTACTTTGGTTGGAAGTTTAGTAGCGGGACTTTATGTTTTTCAGGTATACACTTCAAATTCTGTAGTCAATAACCATAACTTCGAACCATATATTTGGATAGGAAAACCTTTTATATCATCCCTCCATTCCAACTCGCCGCTATGAGGAAAACCCTAACGATTATTTAATGGCATACAGAGATATATTTCTAGAAACTGAAGATGGAATAAGAATTCATGGTTGGCTAGTTTTACAATCGGACTCACGCAAGGCGCCAACATTCTTGTATTTTCACGGAAACGCAGGAAACATAAGTCACCGACTGTCTGACGTGCAACACTTTTACAGTAGAGTTGCCTGTAACGTGCTTATGGTAAGCTATCGTGGCTATGGAGATAGCGAAGGAAGACCTTCTGAAAAGGGTATCCAACGGGATGCCGCTGCTGCTTTTCGTTTCATTCGTTCTTGTGAACTGATAGATCCTAGACAACTTTTTGTATTTGGAAGAAGTATTGGGGGTGCAGTCGCTATCTCTTTGGCTCAGCGGTTTCAACGAGAAGTAAGTTTTTATTACAGTTGAAAAGTCTGCCAATTCGTCTGTTTCTTAGATAAAAGGAGTTGTCGTTGAAAATACTTTTACTTCGATCGATGATATGATTGACTATGTTTTGCCAGCTCTTCGTTGGTGTAAATTTTTGAATAGAAACAAATGGAATTCTGCTGCCAGTGTATCTTCTTTGACTTGCCCTATTCTTTTTCTTTCCGTAAGAGAATGCCCCTCTTCAACAGTTTGAAAGCAAAGTCTTATTCTTGTATGTGGAATAGGGCCTTCGTGATGAACTTGTTCCACCAAAGTTGATGCAACAGTTGTATGATCTTGCCACTCATTCGGTATATCGTCAAATGGTTACCTTCCCAGATGGGACTCATAATGATACTTGGTATGTATCAGACGACATACTAAAAGTGGTGTATATAACGTGGACAATAGGTTTCGAGGAGGAAGTGCGTATTACGATGCTATTGCTGCTTTTGTTCATAAAGCATTGTCCATTTCAGATAAATAAAAACTTTTTCAAATAGGAATGGAATTCCCTTTTCATCATCGCCGATTGGCACAGTTGAGGGGAAAAACTTGGAATGGTTCAACAATGGAGAGCAGCAGGTCTTACTTACTTGCGTTATGCAAATATATGTGCAGATTTTGTACGCAAAGCTTTGAAGGAACCAAAAAGAACAGAAGCACTGTCAAGGACTACCTTTGAGATGACCAAAAGTGAGTGGAGCGAAGGAAAGGTAGCTAAAAGAGGTAAGTGGGGTGAGAGAAGTGATAGAGAATGTCTTACGAATATGATTGAAGAATCCCTTACGCAAGAGGCTGAAAGGAATAATGTTTCGAGCAGCAACAAATGAGTCACTTAAGAATAAACATTCTTCCAAGTGGAAACAAGTTGGTTTTGACTAGACAAAAGTCGCTGGAGTCACTTTGTTCTTTCGGCAACTTGTAGACTACAACTTTTTTATCCGTCTCCTTAACACTTTCCTAGTTTTTCAAGTTGATTCCTACGAACTCTAATTCGTTGCCACGCGAAAGCTTCATTCTATAATACTTTGAGCTGATAGTTTTAAAATACACCGGAAACGCAAAGATTCTTAAACTGTGATAAGCTTGCCTATATGATGAGTTTCAGGGTTAAGACAACAAAATGGCAAAGATTGACTACAGCTTGGCTACATTGCATTTCACAAAAAATGATCAATTCTTATTACAAAGAAGCTACTCCTCTTCTTGTATTTAGAATTTAGTTATTTTGCTTGCACTTTCAATATCTCTATATCATATTTCTATTTCCCAGTAATAAAGTTAACCTTTTGTGCAATGTCACTGGCTCAAAATTCACGAACGGATGGAATTTCATAAGCATTCTCTCTTTAACTCTATCGAATAAATAAGGATGAAGGATAAAAGGATTCTATCTTGTAAGATTACATCCAGGAAGAGAATACAAATACACGAAGAAAACAAAAACACTTAGTCTTTGCATGAATTCCTTTGGACATGAGAGGAGACTTGTGAAACAAGAAAAAAGACACAAAGTATTTGGCGCAAAGAAGCTTATATCTTAATGAATCATCTTTGGTTCTGAAATGAGTCAAAAAGAAAGCCTTTCACAGTATTCCTGTTACAACTATACTTTCCCTTCACAGTCGAGGAATGGAGCAAACAGTCTCAATCCTAACACTTTTTCAGAAAATACTCTTACCAGTCGCAAGGCAATCGACTCGAGTGACTGCCTCTCTTTGTCAACAAGTCACTATGTCAGGATGTTGAAGCAAAAGTATCAAAGAAACGGCAGAGAAAACCGACATAAAAACAAAGTCTTCGAAAAATGCAGTGCGTATCATCAAAGTTTACCAACAACAACTAGTATTGGAAACCATTCGTCCTTTGAAGATGAAAATGCTCGGAAGCAGTCACATGAAACGGAAAATGAAGTCGTTCTTCAATCTCCTATTCGAAAGACTCGTATCGTCTCTGGCAATGATGATGAATTTGCAACTTATCGAGAAGCGCTAGTAAAGCAAGCAACAATTGAGAACGAAACACTTTCATCAATCGAAATTCAGCAGTTGTTCCAGCAGCAACTAGTGTTTCAAGAAGAATTGCGAACAATTCAAAACAACTTGCAAAATTTGGAAGAAATATTGAAGGAAGCTCAATACGATAGGACTCAACAAGATAAGAATCTCCAAAATTTCATGCAAAAATTCGAAGAAAAGGTAAGATACTTTGGCTTTTCTCGACACTCTCCAGTTCTACTGATTTATTAAGTTTAAAGCAAATATAGAAAGGATGAAAGACAACATCTCATCCTCTATCCAAGAAACAAAACAACTACTTTCTTTCAAGCTTGTGGAACTTCATAATACTATCGCCGAAATTCATTCTTGCCTATTGGCAAGCACAGAAACCATCCCTAATGAGCAAGAAGAAGATGTGACTTTCAATCAAAAATAACAAAAACTCCCAAAAAGGACGATGTGCTTTAAACTGACCAGATAAACCAAAGCTTCTCAAGATCAGCCCTCTAAAAATCAGAAATTAACCAAAAAATTATCGAGGTAAACCAAAGATATGTCAAGCTTTTTTGCCAACAGCAAGTCTTAAATAATCTCCGATGAATACTTGGAAGCCTACTTCTTCCGAAAGTTCCTCAATATAACGAGCAACGTTCCTTGGCTTTGATAACTGTTGGTCGCGTATAAACGATTGATCCATAAGAACAACTTCTTCAAAAAACTTGCGAAGTCTGCCATCTACCATTTTGTGTATAGCATGATCGGGTTTCCCGGTAGACATTGCTTGTTCAACAAGTATGCCACGCTCTTTTTCCAAAACATCGTCTGGAATATCACCTCTTCTTATATATTGCGGATTGGACGCCGTAATGTGCATACATAATTCTTTTCCAGCGTCTTTGATTATATCCTCAACTCCTGGCTTTGGTTTAGTATCCTTCGACCAACACAGCGACACAAGGCTGACAATTTTACCAAGTGAGTCATTCAACTTGTTGTGAACGTAGCTGGAGATGACTCCCACGTCACCTACTGATAAATAGAAAGCATTCGACAACGTAATTTTTTCTCCCAGAGTTGCTACGGTTTGGAAAATAGTGTCTTCCCCTGAGATTTCCTTGGATTGGTCAGGTAAAGTGCGGTTCTTAAGTTTTTCAATCTCTTCAGGAGATAACCGGCATATCTTTCCAGGGCTGTAACCATTAGGGGTAACAGAAAGTACAGCTCGGCAGAGATGTGTTGTCAGATTCTGAAATTCTTTAGTCTTCGCAACAAAATCGCTTTCACAGTTGACTTCAACTGCCGCCACTGACTTGCCATCTTTGGAAAAAAGTGCTGCAACTAGACCGTCATCGGCTGAACGATCCTTCTTCTTCGAAGCTAGTTCTACTCCACGCCTTCGAAGCCACTCTATAGCAGACTCGAAAGTTTCTTCCTCTTCTAAAGCTTTTTTGATTTCAGAAAGTGGTGCTCCAGTCTGCTTTCTCAGTTCTTTTATTTGCTCAATTGGAACGACACGAGAAGTGTAAAACCTTTTTGCAAAGTCTCGGAGACCCCAAGCAAGGCCAGTCATATATGCAAATTTTTATTGTGGACATTTTCCAGTGGTGGTACAGTTCCAGTCATCATGTTGAACAGGTTGCTCAGTCAGTTTTTGTCATCGAAATTTTCTTCAACGGAGTTCCACTATCACCATTATGCTCTATGTCTTCAATATCACCATTCCATGACAATAAAAAAGATGACCGAGTCAAGTTATATTGTACAAAATACTGGACAACGATTTCACAAAAATACAAAGAACACGCAGTCAACAAGAATATGACACTAAGTTCAAATGGCTCATGATGTAAAATAGGATAATAAAGTCGGTTTCTAAAAGACAAACCTAACGAACAATTCAATGGAAATACCGCTGCATAGAAGAGAGCTTCTTTCAGATCTTCGCTCTTTAGCAAGGCAACCATGACAATAGCGCAAGTAACAGCGCAAAGAAAACAAATAAAAATGATCAACATTATGGCACTGTTTTGGTCATTGTTCCTGAAACTTTCAAAAGGGCTCTCTCCCATGAGTACATGAAGAACTAGTGTGAATAGACAAAAGGACAAACAGGAGATATTTCCAAAGAGGACATAGTGTTTCAGCCTTAACTTTTTGCTGATGCGGAACATTCCAAAGAAGCAACAAATCAGAGGTACAAAGATCACGCCGCAAGTGATTAAAGTCCCGAGCCAATTAAAACCATCCATATTTTCGGAGCGCATAACTTTCACCGTAGAATGGTCATTAGCAGCATCCAATAGGGACTGCATCTTTTCATGGGTTGCCTCAAAGGCAAGTGCTATTTGAGGGTCCAAATATTTTTCAAAACTCTTCAATACAGAGGCAAGGACATTCTTCAGTTGAGGATTATTGCTTTTGGCTTCCAGTATTAAAAGCTCTCTCTGTACTTCGTCCAACTTTGCCCTCAACTGATCAACTTCAGTTTCCTTGGCTTTAAAGTTACCGCTCAAGCTTTTGAATTTCTCCTTTTTCTGATCGATTTCTCGTCTGAGTTTTCGAATCTCCCTCTCTTCTCCCTTCCTTGAGGAATCCATCTGCCTCTTCATATTTTCTAGCTGCTTGTCTAGGGTCTCTATTTTCTTCTTGAATTCTATTTCCTTTTCTTGTTCTTCAAAACTTTGTACAAGCGTAATAGCAAAGAGAAGGAGCAAAAATATCATAAACAGCTGTGCGTAATGGTGACTCATTTTGGCTTGCGCACCACTCGAGAGACAAATTTCACGTGGAATGGCCCAAATGGTCCCAGTGTATTCTCATTTCAGCTTTTGCGGCGTTGCGAGAGAGAGAGAGAGACTCGACTCTTTGCCATTTCTACCCATTCGGCAATTTCCTTACTGTCGTCTCTTTTGCAAAACTGAATTCACAACTTTGGTGAGATAACATACCTTTAATGAAGGAGTTCTTCCGTAGAAACTTAATCTCCCAAGTTATTCCCTTCAAGTTAGTAAAAAACTTGCTTTATTCCTCTGTTCTTGTTCCTCTCAAATGTAGCTTGATACTATATATATTGGGAAACTAAGAATTTCTCCAAAATGTCCTGGAAAGAATACGAATATAAATCAATTGCGTTTATCTGACCGAGTAGTTGAACTAATCTATCTGTTACTTGAATTGCTTTTCAACAACAACTCTCTTATATATCAGTTGTTTGTGTTTAGAAAAACTATTCTCTGCTTTTGTTGCACACTTTTTTTTGAAAGTGCGATGTTACTATTTATCATTGGAGATATCATGTCCGTTCTCGCTCCTGGAAGTATGATTCGTATTCCCATTCTTTTTCAACAGTATAATGCATAATTGTATAAAATGTCAACTATAAGCTTCATGAGAAATTAGCTTCAACTCACTTTGCTTGTAGAAACAGATATCTATATAAGATATTTATAAGAGATATGTTAGCGCAGAAGATGGAAAAGATTGAGCACAATTATTTTCTTCAAAATTTCACTTTTGGCGATTTTCAAAACGCTGTAAGAGAATATAAAGACTTCCTACTTTTCAAGTCGGAGCGCTGCGTCACAAATGAAAACTTTCTTTGAAAAATAGTACAGACTTCGCAAGATATGACACAACATTGTTTTTCGAAACAAGTCAAATGGGTCTTTTGCTTGCCTTTCATGCCGGAAACTTCTTTTACGGGTCTCAACTCTCAGTTACAAAAAGTTTCTTCGTGTTGTAAGCACCACTATTTTTTCCCTCAAAGTCTACCTTCCGTACAACATAGTGCTCCTTGTGTCTGTTCTTCGTATGAAGACAAGCGTAATGTCTTCACTCCTCACTGGAAAGTGTTGGAAGGTGTTCCACCACTGAAAAGTTATTTTTTTGAAGGCTATTATTTTCGAGTTAGCATTCCCGAGTTGAGTGAAAGCTTTTCTATTATTTATGCTTTGGAAAGAAAGCATACTGGATGGGAGTATACAGCTCAAGTTTTGAGTTCAGAAGAATTGTTGTTTCATACTTTTAAGAATGCACAGTTTTGGCGTCACGAATATACCTTTGGTATGGGTCAGTGGCAGTTTGAAGAACCTTTCAAGGATCTAAAGGACGTCGGACTTCCAAGACAACTGGACCCTTCAATCTTCTTTAAGAAAGTTCCACTTGGCTTTCAATGGACGAGACGCCAGCATTTTGGTAGTTTATTCGACGATAACAATACATCTTTGAGATTTTCTTGGAACTTAGATATTAGTGGTATCGATGGTTGGGGTTCTCGTGGAAGAGATCCACAGAAGAGCACAGCTTCTTGGTTGTCGCATGTTCCATTTTTGTTTGATCCTGGATATCAAGTTTTGATGGCACACGGATTAGCTAACGGTATGTTTTTGTTTACTTCCAATATTTGGAATTTCACATTATTTACTCTTTTAAAGGTTGGTTACTTTGGAAAGGCCGATCATATCCCATTCGCCAATGTCCTGTTTATATAGAAAAGAACTGGGGTCAGCGCTTTCCCAAAAAGTGGTTTTGGTTGCAGTGTAATGTAAGTATAAAGTATTATTGAATAATATGTACAGGGATGATTCTTCAGTTTCTTCTAGAGCTTTTCTACAGAGAAGGATTTATCAGTGACTAGCGTTGGAGCCATTCGTCGCGTATTATTGAAGCCTAAACAAGAAGAAACTGTTGGAATGTTATCTATTCATCACCGAGGGAGACATTATTTATTCACCAACTGGACTAGTTTGTATGTTTCATGGGAAGTTGCGTCTTGGGGTAGTTGGAATGTTTTTGCAGAATCTACTGATTATATTGCAGTTTTAAGAGCATGGTGTGATTCTCCTGGTCATATTTTATTAGGTCCTGCATTAAATGGTTTGCAACCCAACACAAGAGAAAGTTTATTGGGTCATATGCATATACAAATAACTGAGAGGAGTACTGGTTGTAGAGTTCTGGACGACTATTCCAATCTTGCCGCAGTTGAAGTTGGTGGCCAAGATAAAGACTGTTGGAAGCATGTTTGGAATGATAATGTTTTACAACTTCCGTTATTTTTGAGAAACGCAATACAATATTTTGATGGTACTGAATAGCAATTGCAACTTGGTGAATGTTTCAAGCATTAAGACCTCGTAAATTTCTTGTAGAGTCGAGGCTTCTGCGTAACGCAATATTTGGCTTTAGTACAAAAATAAATGTTCAAGAGAGTTTGAAAAACGTTGGTCATATTGACGAAAGAGGCAATATTTCCATGGTCGATGTTTCAAACAAAGAAACAACTGTGAGAAGTGCCACGGCAGAAGCAAAAGTTTTTATTGGAGAGGAAGTGTACAAGAAGTTGCTAGATTCGAAGCATTCCGATATTATAGAAACAGCAAAGGGTAACTTGTTTGCTGTTGCCCAGATTGCCGGTATTCAGGCAGCAAAGAGAACCAGTGAGTTGATTCCACTCTGTCATCCTCTTCTGCTTCATCACGTGGATATTCAACTCTCACTGGATCGAGGGCAACATCTTATTTATATAAGGTCAACTGTGAAGACCAAGGTAACTATATTTCTGGTTATTTTTACACATCTTGAAGTACTTTAGGCAGAAACAGGAGTAGAGATGGAGGCCCTGACAGCAGTCACTGCTTCAGCCTTGACAGTATATGATATGTGCAAGTCGTGGAGCAAACGTATTTGTATACAACAAATACAACTTTTGAGAAAAAGTGGAGGAAAAAGTGGTCTTTATGAGAAGGACTCTTTCAGTGCAAGTCCTCCTTATAAGGAAGACTTATCCTAATGATACTTGATTATTTAATGAGGAAATATACTTTGTCATAGGAATAGTCTTTAGAAAAATTATAAAACTGAAAAAGTTAGCATCGTTGTGATTGCATTTGTTGTTGGGGGGAAAGGACTTGTTCAAGTCTTCTCATGGCTTTTGCTTTGCGTGGACTAGTTGGTTTCGCGAATCGTGCCAATGCCTTGAAACAAGGTTACAGGTTTTTGTCTCTTGCAAGAAGTTTGGAAAGGAACGGAGAAATGGGATTGCGATTGGTCTCTTCTTCCAACCCAAGAGCCGGACAGTGGAGCAACAGTAAGTCCATGTTGTTCTCTGGAATACTTGTGGAAGTTTTGTTCACTTCCTTTGTTAGATTCCATTCAAAGTTTGTTAAGTCGTTATTTAAGTGATAGTGTGGTTGAGGGTGGTAAAAGACAAACTGAAGTTGCCACTGGAAGAAGCTCCACTTCCACAGCTATTCCCATGGGTTATGCCGATGAATATTTTCATCACGTTCATCGTTGGCGTCCAGGTGATCCAAGCAAGCGAACAGTAGTGTATTTGTGGTTGGGTATTTGCAAATTCATCACAGCTTGTATTGCTCGTGTAGTAATCTTATGCTTCATATACACTATGATGCCCTCGGCAGATGTACTGGCAGAAGCTTCAACAGAAGTCAGCTTGGACAGTGTTCCAGAAGGATCCACTGTTTCTGTGAAGTGGAGAGGAAAGCCAGTATTTATTAGACATCGTTCGGAAGCAGATATTGCAAAGGCTAAACAAGATGATCATGCAGATTTACGGGACCCTCAACTTGATGAGAGTAGAGTAGAGGATCCTCATTGGTTGGTAGTTATTGGCATTTGTACGCATCTTGGTTGTATCCCTATAGCTGATGCTGGAGACTATGGTGGTTGGTTCTGTCCTTGTCATGGCTCACATTATGATGTTAGTGGCCGTATTCGAAAAGGACCTGCTCCTTCCAACTTGGAAATTCCACCTTACAAGTTTACAGAGGATGGAAAAATGATAATCGGATAGTGAATGTTTTTTTCTTCTAATATAAAATTTTTTTGTGTGAGATTGTACAAGGATTGAGGAAGCTTATATAATGATCACAAGTGACGATGTTACTAACTTGGACAAAGTTTTATTTGCAAAGCCATCTCAAAGGAAAGCTGGCGCAGACTTTTGTACTTTTTCTGGGTTACTCACGATTCGTAGCTGGAAACCAAAAGATAGAACTGCCACAGAGGAACTGGTAAAAGCTGCTCTCGAGGAACACGGTTTAGAATTTGATCCTTTTGATACTGATGTTGACTTGTCACATCCTGAGAAGTATTACTATCCAAGCGGTGGTGAATTGTGGGTTCTGGAAAAGAATGACAAAATAGTTGGCTGTGCAGGGTTTTTGCCCTTGTCAGAAGCTTCAACTGTGGAGTTTCGCAAGATGTATTTTTCTCCTAGCGTAAGAGGACAGGGTTATGGAAAACTAATACTTGGTGCTTTGGAATCTCGAGCTTTTGAATTAGGATATAGAGAAAGTCGACTAGTAGGTTGAAGATTGTGCAGTAGTTGCCTTTGTAACACAGATTAAGGAAACGTCGCATCTTTTGGAAGCTGCTTGTAAGCTTTATGAAAAGATGGGCTATGTAAGTTATGAACAGGTTCATACACCTCGTTGTAGTCGTGCATATAAGAAGGATTTGAGACAGCAAGTGAGTGAAATTCTGAATTTCCAGGTACTTGTAACTTTTTGGATAGTATGAAAGTGTCAACAACTATACAGACAATGTGTATTGGTTGGATACTGAGGGAAGGTTGTTTAGTTTGGTGAAAAAAGAAGTTGCAATTCGTCACGCAGTTTTGTGTAAAATGTGGAAATTCGGTCTTCACACGAATGATTCGAAGCTTTCTCGTAAGTAGAGCTGTTGTTTTATTTAAAAATGTCCAGCTGAAGAATCAACGTTTATATATTGAGTAGTTTTTCCTAGTCAACGAAAACAGAAATTGTATCAATCGTTTCTGTGGTCAATAGGAAACGAAGAACTTCGTAGTTGGCTAATGAAGTTGAAAGATACATGTTCCGATAAACTCGAGGTTCACTTATCTAAGAACCAGCATATAATCCTCCCTAGTACTCGGCAACATGTTTTCGTTCAAGTGATAAACTGTGTTGTGGGTAGTTCCAGTGTACTGCCATTATCCATCCTTCTAGAATTGAACGATGTAGAAAGTAATCAGATTGATAAGGATGATTTGTTCATTTGGAAAGAACAAGAACAATCAATATCGTCGTAGTAGGGTCTCCTTTTCCGAAGGATACGGAAGCATTCAATGCAAAACATCTGTTCTTCTTATACTGGTAGATAAAATCAACTTTCTAGCAATTTTCAATTTCTAGCCAAGAATATGAACTTGAATCGGTGTTCAAGTCTGGTTGGTCTGTAAAAATGAAGTGCTTTCGAATATCACTATTGTGACTTGAAGAACCTGACAGGTAGACCATTTTAAGCAGAAGCTGAATTGATACACCATATCTGCATATATCTCTACTTTCTGTTCTATGTAAAACCAAGTATCGCTCTGGTTTTCGAACACGTAGGGACTCTATTTCGTGCTCTACAACGTCAATCTAATATCCTAATACAAGACGTACATATAAATAAGTGCAATATATGTATGGAATTTTCTTGGTTCTGAAAAATTTACTAGGCTAATTGCTCTAAAAAGAAGTGCTTTCCTTTCAAGCCCTTGTATGGTAAGAGCGCCCACGAAACAATTGTCTATAGGACAATCCTCATGAGGCTGAAATCACGCGCAACCGAAGATTGTGTTCTTCCACATACTTGTCTACAGGACAGTGGATGATCGTTGTCTAACTGTTTTCAGAAAATGGCGAGATCCATTCGACAGGAACTATAAATAATTCATAGTTTTTTTGGTGTGAGCAGAACTTTCTTGTGTTTAGAAAAGATGTCGGAATCACAGTTGGTGTCTTCCAAAGTCTCTAAACAGAAACGAGATGAAGATGAAGATTATTTATCCAATACTGAAATGTACTCGAGTGAGACTGTAGAGGATGGTGAGAAGGAGACCGTACAAGGTCCTACAGAAGAGGAATTACAAGCTCCGGATCTCCAGAGGAAAGGATGGGACGTTACTTGTTTGACAAAGAACCCGAAGAACTTCGCAATCATGGTGGGAGTATTATCTAGTGTTGGTGCAGTTTTGTATGGTCTCGATGTAAGCCTTATCAGTGGTGTACTGCTCTTTGTGGTTAGTGACTTGAACTTGACTTCTCACCAAAGTTCTTTGGTGTCAAGTGGTATGGCTTTAGGAGCCATTGGTGGTGGATTTCTGTAAGTCTCAATATTCATCTATTCTGCTATTGCTAAAATTTTCAAGGGGTATCGTTTTAGTAGAATATATTGGAAGAAAGCGGAGTATTCTTATCGCTTGTGTTCTTTACACTGTTGGTGCTCTAATGGAGGCACTCTCACCGTCATTTGGTGTCCTTATTTCAGGGAGACTGGTACTTGGTTTGGGTGTGGGTATTGAATATGATGCTATACCTCTTTATATTTCAGAATCTTCACCTAAGAATAGACGAGGGGACTTGGTAGCTCTATTCCAGTTGATGGCCTTTTTTGGAGTCATGCTTGGTTATGTAGTGGATGCTATCTTTGCAAACGTAAGCGGTTCATGGCGCTTCATGTTTGGTTCTTCTATTGTTTTCTCTGTTGCTTATTTCTTGCTCATGTTGGTATTCCCAGAGAGTCCTCGATGGCTTATGAAGAGGGGTCGTGAACGGGATGCTTTGAGGAATTGGAAGTATATGAGAGGTTTTGCTCATGAAGAGCGACTAGAGTATGTCAATATGGTTGAGATAGTACAAACAGAGTTGGAATTAAGTCGCCGAAGAAATATTTGGTTAGATTTTATTCGTGTTCCAGAACTTCGATATGCAGTTGTTTATGCTATTTTGATGATATTCTTGCAACAATTTTCAGGTGTCAACTCCATTGAATATTACCTTGGAACTTTATACGAAGATATTGGAATGTCCAAGTTAGATTCTGTCTATATGAGTCTTATTAATGGAGGCTGTTTATTCATTTCAACCTTACCAGCAGTATTTTTGATGGATAAAGTTGGAAGAAGACCATTGGTATTGTTATTGGCACCATTCACAGTTATTGGTTTGGCTATTGCAGGTGCATCCACATATATCAAACAAAAGAAGGGGCATGTGGCAGCTTACACTTTGGGAATGGTCATCTATGATTTATTTTGGGGTAGTGCTTTAGGTGCAGTACCCATTGCAGTTAACTCTGAAGTTTATCCACAATATCTACGTACAAATGGTATGAGCATTGCTGTGATAGCCACTTTTGTAGGAACCTTCACTACAACGTATACATTTTCTAGAATGGTCAAGTCAATGACACAATTGGGTACACTGCTTGGTTTCTATGGTGGAGTCACATTTGTTGGTTGGGCCACTTGTATTTTGTTCATGCCGGAGACGAAGGATCTCACTTTGGAACAAGTAAGACAAGTATTTTTAAAGGGCCCTTTTGGAATAGCAAAAGAAAATAAGAGAATCTTGAGCAGGCAATTCTCAAACGCCAAGAACAGGGTAAAATCATTCTTTGGAATAAGTTCCTAAGAAGTAGTCTCGGGCGTTGGTTCTTTATTGTATTTTGAATGGCTATCATGAATTTAGTTATTTTGATTATATTGATTTTCAAATAAAGTTTTCTTGCAAGTTCTTCAGACGTGATGTCAACTGACTGTCGCAAAATGTGATCTCCCAATAACCTCATAGTGTAGGAGAGAGGAAGTGGGAGGAAATTGTCGTCGTGCGTCATGCAAGTTGAAACTGCTAAACAACTACTGAATAGTTCATGGGATACTGAAACGCAACAAGTACACGGTGGCCAAACTTGGAGAGCGTTAGGAGACAAGTTTGTCGAAGATTTCTCCGTTACAACTAATGCTTTTGGTGCTCCGTTGAAAGCAGTTGAAGCTGCGAAACGTGCGTTGGAGACAAATATCCATCACTATCCTCCAGCAGATTGTGCTGAAGCCACACAAGCTTTAGCAAAGTTTATGCAATGGGATGGTAAACGACTACTTTTGGGAAACGGTGCTAGTGACTTTATCGATCTTTTTATGCGTTGTGGTAAGAAACTTTATGACAGACACAATCACCGTGTTTCTAATGTTGTCTTTGACACCACAAGGTACGAGGGGCTCATTTCGTCCTGGTCCTTATATTGCGTCGTATATGGAATATTACAGAGCTGCAAAAGCTGCTGGGAGAGAGATTCTCTCTTCGTTTGACTCTCCAGAAAACTCTGGAGTTACTGTCATCATTCGACCCAATAGTCCTACTGGAGATTTCATGATCTTAGAAGAACTGGAAACCATTTTGCAAAACAACAAGTATGGTCTTGTTGTTATAGATGAAAGTTTCATGCCTTTCAAAGGTCCCGAATGGAGAAAGGAAAGTGCTCTCCAATTGATTGATACTTACCCAGGGCGACTTGTGGTAATTCACTCCTGGACTAAACTTTGGTCTTGTCCAGGAATACGTTTAGGTAGTGTTGCTACTAGCAGTGACTGGATAAAGGAAGCAAAGCGTTTACAGATCCCGTGGTCATGTAATACTGTAGCTCAGGCATTTTTGATTGCTGCATGTTCAGATAATGAGTATATGCATCAAACATGGAACACATTACCAGAATGGAAGAGACAACAAGAAAACATCATTCGAGAGATGGGATGGAAATATAATACGAAATCACCTCTGTGGGTTCCGTGGGTATTCGTAGATTGTGGAAACGCAACGATTGCCGAACAAGCGGCAGCAGTTGCTTTGTCGGTTGGATGTCCTGTTCGACATTGCGCTTCCTTTGGATGTCCGCATTATATACGTCTCGGAGTTCGTGAACCAAAGTATCAACAAATACTGTACAAGGCCTGGAAAAACCATTTTGATAGTCAAAGCAAGGAATAGTTAATAAAGTATTTTTATTAGGCTGAAGATGAACGACTCGTGACTAATAAGCAATATTATTTGACTCACATTTTTTTATTCCCCAAAATTAAAAACCAGTCTAACTAAATAGGAACAAGTCGATCGAATGCGTTAGATGAGAGTGAAGGCTCTTTATAACAACAGCTGAATCCAATTGTTTAATTCTCTTCTGCTCTCACAGTAGCATGTGCAGACTCATATGAACTATCAAAAATCATGGAGTTTATCGACAATGAAATATGCCCAATGGACTTCTCAGGGAACTTTCTAAAGTCTTCAAATTCTGAAAAGTCTTTCTCATGCAGCTCTTCTAAAGCATTCCATGAATATTCGCTATCTTCCAATGGGAAAGATCCTGAGTCAGTGTCCAAATTGGGCCTCTTGTCCACAAACGATACATTCGAAGAACGATTATTTCCTTCTACCCCATTCTCATCATTGTTACTTGGCCATTCATAAATGCAAGTTCCATTCCTATCCGATACGGTATCTGTTCCTTCGACATCATAAAAGCTAGTTGATGACAAATCATTGTTAGAAACACTTCTTCTTTCTGAAAGTCCCTCGGAAGTTGTACTAAACTCTCTAAAACTTGAATCCTGATCAAAACCCGTCATACACAAAGTCGCTGAATGGAACAATCCATCTGCATTGGTTTCATTCTCATCTCGAAAAGCATTCACATTCAAACATGCCGAAGATGCCATTCTACTTTCCAACCCACATGACTCAAAACTGTCTACCGAAAAACTATGGTCATCGCAGTTTCTATTTCTCATATTTGTCAAAAATTCATCTGTATTCCCAAAAATCGGACCCATATCTTATCAATTTCTATCACTATTATTCAAAAAGAGCAAACCATATACTTACTTCTTCGTTGTCCTATCGAACTGAAGTCCGAGTAAACTGATGGACGTTGATCATTTTGATGTGATTGCCTCTTTGCTGCCTCTCTCGCAAGTTTCAAGTAGTATTTTTGGGCATGTGTTCGTACCTGCGTGGCATTCCTTGTTCCGACAAATCGAGCAATAGCTTTCATATCCTTGTGACCGAACCTAGCAAGACCTTCCAGAAAGCGTTTATGTTCATCTGCCGTCCAATAACGACTTTGTGCCTTCCTTTCTACTTTGCTAACTGCCTCCAAACTCTCTTCCTGACTTTGGTTTGGAACACTAGAAGTTGGCGTGAAAACATCATTACTTGGAGCATGTCCAAATGTTTCTGTTGCTTCCAGGTCATGGTGTATGGATTTTTCAGCTACAGAGTTTCCAGAATCAAAGGACACTTAGTACTAGAACAATATATGAACAAAAATATCACTTACTTCGATAGCCGGACATCTCGGGTCGATGACTGCTGAATGATGAGGATAAAATAGAACAGTTAGGGCACTCCGTACCCTGTCTATTGAGTGAAGTTAAACCCAATGCAAGTTGTCTGTTGTACAGGCGCAACCTCTCCATTTCTACTTTGGTTTCTCTCAGGTCGTTTTCCAATTGTTCAATTCGCTTTCTTTGTTGTTCCAATACTTGCTGGGCTGTCTCTGCTCCTTCAAACTTTCTGCTTTCACAGACTTTCAAGTTCTGATAAAGTGTATCTGAAAAGGTGGCCAAGTCAGTTGATTCTGTCAATAAGCTGTTCTTCACGTCTTCTGCTTCCTCTGTTCCTTCGGGAGAGTAACTCTCCAGCTTTGTTGACGTCACTCTTCGTTTCTTCCTTTCTCGGCTTTTACTGGGCCTCATTTGTTATTTCAAGACCTTTCGTGATCAACAGGGGCAGGATTCCTTTTTAATATTTCTTCAAACGTTGGATAGTTTTCTCAAGTATGTTTCTGCCTATATTGTTGATACAGGAAGAACAACTGTTAGCAGAAGAAACGGTACTTTTGAACCTCTGTCGACGCTCAAGGAAACAACTCAGGCTCAACTTGTCGCTATCTTGTCTTCAGTGAAACGAGCTATCAGTATTAAAGTTTATGTCCTCACAAGACGAGCAGCAGCACGCAAATCCAAGTTAGAACTTAAAACAATTGGGGAAGCTTCCTAGTCAAAGCCTTCAATCTCAACATGCGTCTACGATTGGCTAATTTACCATTGCTTCAATACAATCGAGACACGATGGATTCGGGCCTCTGATCATATGTTGACGCCCCCCGAAGCATTCCGTGGTTGGAGGAGTCGCATTTTTCTACGCAGAAAGGTTCCTCTCGTTTTAGACTTTCATTTATTATAGACAAATTTTGCATTTTCGTATCCATCAAATTCCATAATTCCTCTATTTATCTTTTGAAGATATATCTATAAGAATATATAATGGGAAGGATTTTTTTAACGGCTGAGCTCAAATAATGAAGAATAGTTTTCAACGGATTCCATAGAAAATCTATCGATTGAATAAATAGTAAGACTTGAGAGCCCTCATAGCATCCTAGTCTCTCTATTTTCACTAAAACCTGTTCACTATTCCTCAATATCTTCAGATAGAAGTGGCGTTTAAATAGTTCAACTAGAGTTTTTTCGTTTAAAACGGAGTTGGCTTTATCATTATTTCCAATTTGAAATGGCCCGACAAAAAATAGATAATTTATCCAAAACACAAGTAGTATGCAATAGCTATGAAGATTGTTAAGCCAATTTGGCAAACCGACCTTTGGTTGGAAACAGAAACAACTGTTTCAGTTCTACTGCGAGCTTAACTGGAAGAAACTAATTGTAAACTGCTTCAGATATATTAGGAAGGACCTTATCATTTCCTCATTCGATATAGCGTTGCCTAATAACTTGCAAGGTAACTGGCTGAAACAGTGCTTTACTCGAAGCCCACAACTTTAGGGTTCAAACGTAAACAAAAAGTGCGAGTGAGGAAGTTGTGAAGAGGGAGAGAGCGAAAACAAAAGGCGTGTTATTAAGAAGCTTTCATAGAAGTAAAACAGAAAGGAAAGCAACTAGAATATTTGTAATCATATGTTCCGTTGTTGGAGCCAGCCAAACCAAGCATGGTTTCACACTCGGTTGCTCGTTATTGTCAACGAACTTTCTCTTGCACTGGGCAACTAGTAGCAAGGAAAACACAAGTCCTTGTACTCTATTTGAAGTGCCTTTTTGTAGGAGACCGAAACTTGAGAATTTGTAGCGCCGCTTTACTATAAAAAATTGTTGCAATCAAAATGGGCCATTTTGGAAAAAGCCAATTGGAGGCAATCTAATTGGCAACAATATTATCTAAACTACCAGAGACAGCCAAGTGTCCAAAAGCCCTTCTTTTCTTTTTTGGTTTGTGGTTTTTTTGTACGAAGACACAACTTTGAACACGTTCAAAAGTGTGAAGTTTTGCAAAGCTACTTCTTTCGGAAGATGGAGCTGGCCAGTTTTCAAAGAGAGGCTCGCCCTCTTGGAACTCGAGCGAAGCTTGTGTTTGTTTGTGAGACATCAAAGTATTGTACTGTCTCTTCTATAGCAACAGTAGTTCCACGAGAGCATTTACAGCTGAATGTCAGAAAAGCCTTTCAAGGTGCAACAGTCATGGTTCCCATCTTTGGCGCTCTCTTGCCGATCTTTTTTGGAGGCGTCTTTATGTACCTCGGTTTAGCAAGATACTCACAAAATATGAAATATCATAATATTCATATCTCGAAGAAGAGAAGTATTGTGATACGAAAACCGCGGCCACAAAACTCAACGGACTCGTTCTTACAAGCCGTTGTGGAAGACCCCAGTGCAATGTTCGTCTATCACTCCAAGTGGCAAAAGTAATCGTTCTTTTTCAAGAAATGCTTTAATAGTCGTTCATGGAACCTTTTTGTTGGTTGCAATAAAATTGAATTGTGTGTGCAATTTAAAGATTATACAGTTCTTATTGATTTTGAAGAAAATGGCAAATGATGATGCCAACCTAATGTGGTTAGAAAAGTATCGTCCAAAGACTTTTAATGATGTCTTGTCACAACAAGATATAATCGTTACGAGTAAGTTTATTCAAAGAGTATTGACGTCCTTAACAGTTTTCTAGTCTTACGTTTTGTAAACTCCAATAGTCTTCCCCATATGCTGTTTTATGGTCCTCCTGGAACAGGAAAGACTTCCACTATATTGGCTTGTGCAGAGCATATGTATGGAACCAACTTTAAGTCCATGGTCCTTGAATTGAATGCTTCAGATGATCGAGGAATAGACGTTGTGAGAAATGAGATCAAAGACTTTTGTAGTACACAAAGAATTTTTGCTACAGGTGTAAAATTGGTTATTCTCGACGAAGCAGACGCTATGACAAGTGCTGCTCAAATGGCCCTTCGTCGTATTATGGAGAAGTATACATCTAGCACAAGATTCTGTCTGATATGCAACTATGCCAACAAAATTATTCCAGCCTTGCAGTCACGTTGTACACGTTTCCGTTTTGGACCTTTGAAGGAAGAAGACATCCGATTGCGATTAGGACAAATAGCGGAAAGAGAAGGGTAAGTAGAGAGTAGTTTGATTTTATTCAAAACATAGTTTATGTTTATTAGAGTTGTTTTTGAAAAGGATGCTCTGGAAACCATCATTCAGTTATCTCAAGGTGATATGCGTAGTTGTATTAATATTTTACAATCTACTTTTCTTTCTTCTGGAAAGGTGACTTGTTCTACTGTTTATGAAAATACTGGCAATCCTTCTAATGAGGAAATGGAACAAATAATGGATTGGCTAAATGAAGAAGATGACTTTAGTAGTTGTTATGACAAAGTGAAGAAGATGAAAGCAGAACGTGGGTTTGCACTTATCGATATCTTGCGCCAGATACATAAAAGACTATTGACAAGAAATATGTCGCGCAGGGCAAAAGCATATTTGTTAGAAAAACTGGCAGATATAGAGCATCAGTTTGCTTTTGGTGGTTCTGAACTACTTAATCTTTGTTCCTTGATTGGTTCCTTTCAAATAATGAAGACGTTGGAAGTTTTAGATGCCGCACCATGATTGTTGAAAGTGGTTCCTCAATCAGAATATTATAATAAATAATCTATGAATAATATCTTTAAGCTTGAGCAATCGTGATCATAGAAATGCGACAGCTTCTTATAAGGGACTCTGTGAAACAAACTTTAAAACAGTGGAAAGAAGATGAAATAGCGTCCACAAATACTCAAAAGAGTCTCCATATGGATATTTCAGTAGTTGGTTGGCTTATTGGAGTTGCTGACCTGGAAACTGTTGAAGTATGGCATTTTGTTCGAAACTCGCCCTTTACCAACTCCAACGATCTTCAACATATAGATCGAGTACTGTTGAAGGATATTGGATTCTACGCAAGTGCTTTATCTGGTCCTCACATCCAGTTATTGGGACCTATTTATGTTTCTCATAGACAATCCAAGCGAGGCGTAGTAGCGGAGTTTCTATCCACTAGTCTTGATAAGGCACTTTCTATGTTCAGTATTGAAACTTATTCTATGTATGATCTTAAAAACGAGTCTTTTTATATCAAGGATTCTTCTTCAAGCTTATGGGAAACTATTGATTCAACTGCTCTAGTGGAAAGTTGTATGCAAAGGGACTGGTATTGTTTTTATACTCAGTTGAAGTTGCCTTGTTTATTTTCTGGTGCAAGAAGAGTTGATTATTGTTCAGCAAGTGATTGTAGTGGACTTTGGGAAACTTTGGAGAGTCGTATGGAGTTTTTAAGTGTAGAAAAGACTGACTTTAAGCTGTTACGTCAAAATGAAGAGTTGAAATGTGAACTACTTGCTCATTCTATTGGATTATCTCCTATTGCACAACTCAATGTGGCAGATGTTCGTGAATTGGAGCGTCATATTCAAGTGATG